GAGCTTCAGAAACTAGAAAACCCCCAGAAAGAAGACACCATATTATTAAATAGGGTTTCATATTGTTTTAGTGAATTCTCCTAAAAAATCTTTAGACCAAATGTGAAAACTATTAATTCATCCGAATAAGAGATGATAAAATATAAGGAAATGATTCGATGAGAAGTGAATTCCAGTTAAACGGTAAATATTGAATCCTGTAAAGATAAAAAGAGTTATAACAAGAGCAAAGATAATTAACCAAGAACTATTAATAAGAAAACAAATAAATCTGATCTAACTTCTAAACGTTTAGATTTCCAAAATACCAAGGGCAAATAGCTCTTTGTTTCATTAATTTGCGTTATTCTCGCTTACGTCCCCTTCTTTCTCTTCATTGAAATAACACAAATGTTCCATTGGTTCAAAGTTGCTGGCACTGGTTAAAGCAATGCTGGTCAATGGTGTGCGCAGGTTACGGATATCTACGGCCACAACGTGCCAGACACAGATAGCATCGGCACCAACTTACTGAAGGCAGTATCACGTGGCACAGCGGTTTGAGCCCTGATGGGAAGACATCGTCTCCCAGACTTTTGACTAAGCCAGCTCGGGTCAAGCCACAGCCAAAGCCATGAGCATCGACTCAACTAACACTGAAGCCACACTGGCAGCCTCCACGTTGAGGTCTTAGCTATAGGAGCTGCTGCCAAGACGATCTCCAAGCCCGGAGCTTATGTCACGGCTTCTCGTGTCAGTCTTAGTACTCGAACCATGAGACCAAACAAGGTGCAGCAGCTGCACAGCTTCTCATAGGCAATTCACAGGAGACAGGGTAGTCGAGCTTTCCTGTGGGTTGAGGGCAGAACCTGTTCGGATTGGACTGGAACAGGTTTTGGGTGGTTGATTCCGGGCAGCTCAGCAGCTTTACAGAGTTTCGTTCAAGAAGCACAGAGACAGCATCGCAGCATGTGCAAGCCTGATTCTGATGCTTGTATGGACTCTTTCGGGTGGAAGGCAGAGAAGGAGCCAACCACGACATGATACCGCAAAAAGATGTCGCCTCACCAACTAATCACTCCGAGGCCAAAGCCGGAAGAAGGAGTGGGGCTCAGAGGGAACCTATCCAAAGTGACTTGCAGCGCGAAGCCCTGAACTGACTCCGTCGTCTGCTGTAAAGTTGAGTCCGTCAGTTACTCGGGAGCAGGTTGGTTGATCTGTCCTCGCAGGTTGAAATCCTCTTCATTCCTCTTCAATTCAACCACTACTTGCATCGACGCCTGTGTGGTGGAACAGTGGTGATTGCATTAGCTGACGATTGCCGTATCATTATATCAGCATCGCGAGGCAGTAGTGTGAAAGGCAGGTTTCGGGCATGTGGCAGCAGCGTCCCTGGGGGCGGGGGAAGCCGAGATGGCAGCACAAGGAGGGAGGGGAACAGACACAGCGAAACCGTGAAGACGGTCGTTGGATCAGTCTCTTGGTGAGTTCGGCACACCAGGGCACATTCGGCCTAATTTCCCTGAGGCACCTGACATTTTCGAGTTTTTGGTGAGATCGGGGTATTCCGTGCACATGCGATGCGCTGCGTGTTGGTTTGTCTGCTTGGCTTCATGCATGGGGCCACCGGCTGGTCTCGTGAGCGATTTCTTATTGCTGGATGAGCGGGAATTATTAACTAGACAAAATAGAAGCAGATCCACGGTTGAACTCAGGCCCTCAAGGCTATATAGAGAGTAAATAGCTCTCATAGCAGATGCTCCAATTGGCAGGGCACCTCCTCCTCACACCCACAAAAGCCAATAGGGGGTTGCGAGGGTATTGCATATATGTTTTGGTAAAGTTGGATCTCTAATCCGGAATTCAGAACGGTTAGCAGGCTGGACAACGATGCGACCAACAGCTTCGAACGTGCGCACATACACGATGGGCTTTTGCCTTGAAGATCCCTGAAGTGCAAGGGACTAAGGTGCAAATGGCTCGGCTTGTGCCCCAACATCTGTGCAAGCCTCAACTTCCGAAACAGCTCGATCCCAACACTGCTATCCCGGCCGAAAGGCTACGGAGCCGCAAAAAAACCGTCCAAACCTCCAAGTGCTGCAGGCACTGAGGCCAAAACTAAGGCACTCGATACGGTTACACCTTTGCCAAAACTAAGCGCCTGGAGCTTGGAAATTCTGCACTTGGGACCTTTCTAGGCGCTCCGGGCAGCACCCTCGAGCCCACTCGCTTCCGCTTCGGCGACCATGGTGAGCTTGCTTCTGAGGGTGGGCAACAAGTGGACATTTACTTTAAACTTTGTCGTGTTGAGATGTTTTGAGGCTTGCGCAGCGCTCATGTATCCGGCGATATGAAAGGCCACTAGAAGAGTGCCAGCATGTGGATATACGTGGATTTCAGGACTTCCATTGCCGGCACAGGTGCGGAGGAACACAGACTAATACGGGGGCACAGCTACTGAGGCCCATAGAGGTGGTTGAAGCCCGGCGAGACGGAGGCAAATGCGGCGGGCATGAAGTCAGACCTAAGCGATTGAGAGCATTTCTGCGCCTCCTGCTATGTCTCGTGTTTCCAAATCGCGGCAGGAGATCTTCCCAGGGATTTCTGGGCTTCCCAGAGTGGCCTCGAGTGGACGGACCTCCGTGGAGAGCGTGTTCGAACGCAGGACTTCGACAGATGATGGTCAAGCGTGTGGGCACCCCGGAGACATCCCGACCCCCGGATATTGACATGAATGAACGGCTTGTTCTTGTGAAGATTATCATGTGTTGGCATGCTCACTCGCCTTGGTTGGTACTTCAGTTTCTGCTTTCATTCCAACCTTCAGCCGCTTGGACACAATCCCATCGCTCGGCAGGATGCGAAGGAGGCCAGCAGGAAATTGGATGAGTGGACCCCAGAAATGTGATGCTGTCTTGTGATCGACATGTCCACATAGTGAACTTCTGCGAGAAGCAGAACAGCGTATAGGACAGTAACAT